CACTCGTAACTGGACCTCATCAGAGGGCACGACCTGACTGTACTCTGTTCCCCGCCCCCACCCCACCAGGGCTGGTTTAACCCCAGCACACAGCCGCTGTGGACCATCACTTAATAGAGCTGGTGTCAGGGAACAAGGACATCCAGGCCTTCTGTTAATGGGAGAGAAAGAACATGATGTACACAAAGGAAACAGAACCAAGACAACTGATTCAGCAGTATCAGGAGACGTTTTCTAATGGGATTTATATGGGCTAAAGGGGAAAGAATGGGGAAAGTTGGCAGGTCTCCATGAGGGAGGTGACAAAGAAGGCAGAACTAAGTAAGGCTCAGGGACCTGATGAAGAACGGGAGCTCCAAGTCTACTCAGGGAAATGAAATAAAAACCATTCTTAACAAGTAAATAAGAACAAATCAACCAAAAGTCTGTCCATGTCCCTGCCCTCTGTCTCCTGAGTCTCCTATCAAGGAGAAAGCCAGCACAGACAGACTAGGAAGCACTCAGGGACAGCAAGCTGCAGGAAGGCAATCTCTTCTGGGGTAAGTGAGGATTGGATGAGGTTCTCGGACAGGCACTCCTGGAGAGGTGGATTCCATGGTTTTATTGCCGAGTGCCTCTTAAGGAAAGGGTGGGCTGCTGTGAACGGGATTTAGTAGATTTGGGTGTTTTCAAATCTGATGTTTGAGTTTTTGCCATGAGGGCCATTCACTATGTCCAAGTTTGCCAATCTCTGAAAGCAGAATAAATATGAAACACCTCAGTAATTATACTCTGAACTCGAGACAAAGGTTCTCCCTGCTCCATTTTGGCTGAACAAACTTCCAAGACTTATGCCAAAGCATTTATCTTATAAGAAGACTTATCCTAAAATGTGGCAAAATGAGCTTGGGGAGAATGATTCAATGGCATCTGGTTTATTTTTAATGATAGTGAAAGAGACAGGAGATTTAAACACTATGATTTAACAGTGAGTTGTCCTAGTTGCTATTTAATAAAAGAACTAGTTGACAAATCCAAACCTGTCTCAGACTTCTGTGCGTGGTATCTAATCCTACACGATCCTAAATTCTTGCTGTGTCTCTGCAGTATGTGACAGGACCCAGCTACTGTTGCTCACCTACTGGTCATACGGCACCCCAAAAGTATTCGATCTCCTGTTCTTACATCACTAGTCTTTGAAAAACACACTTTTTCACTGTTACTGAAGAAACTGCACTGAACAGTCATCCAACTAATCCTGTTATAAAGTAAGGATAAGGTACTGGAGACAATCATTACAAAAGAGCAGAAAATGAATAATTTTCATTTAAGAAGTCGCTACTTTCAATCTTTATGGAGAAAGAGCGATCACTGTAATGTCCCACTTTAAAGGGTCACAAATCATTACAAAAAATGAGTAAGAGGTAGTAAGTACCAACGGCACTAATGGTGCTTATGATTTTATAGAAGGTGAAACTTGTTATTAATGAGTTCTTCAACAGATGGTTTCTCTTTATGAAATTATTGGAAGAAATAAAAAGATTATTATTTTTGGAAAAGGCCATAGGCTGAGGTTCAGATTATGCCTTTTCTATTACTTTTGACAAGCTATTAAAATTCATATTCTCTGCTGCAGTTTATCGACTGCTTTGGCAGAATATGCTGTAAAAGGGAAATTACAGAAGAATGTGACTTTCTGTAATAGAAAAGAGGAAGAGAGATCTATTCTTAGAGGGCCTAGAATAATATTAAAGATAAAAGGCTGGAACAAACCGCTCATTCTTTTTCTCATTGTTTAGAATAAAATACCATAATTACTTTTCTTATTTCCAAAGAGACTCTTGCACTAATTCCGTCATTGTCAACCCACACAGGAGATGAAGTTAAACTGAAATTAATACTAAACAGACATGTATGTTATCCAAGCAAAGCAATGTCCATTATTTCAATGCCTTCATCCTTTTTCTCAATTATAGAACATACTTCCTCCTCGCTCCTTGACAAATATAATTTAGAAGACATTAGCATACAATGAAACGATTTAACAGTTATGGCTAATGTTTACTGAGCACTTACTATGTGGCATGCACTGATCTAAGCACAGATTATCTAAAAAAATGAACTAAATCCTCATGACAGATAATCCTATGGGGAATTAATAGATATTTCCATTTTACATATAAATAAGGAAACTGAAACTTAGCAAAATTAAGTGGCCACACTGCTATTAAGTGGTAAAATCGGATGACATAATGAATGAAGTATTTGAGAGTAACCATGATTAGGGACAAGAATGAGTTTTCTCCCAGGCTAGAAATATGTTCTTGGTTGGATACTATGGAAAGGTCTGGTCTTATCCCACTGCATAGAATTAGCAGAAGACTTTATAATCATAGTAGCTGTATCCCTCAATCATTAAAAGTAATCGTTACATATGCTTTGTAGTTTTAGGTAGATGTATGCAAACAGATAAACACAAAATAAGACCCAAGAGTCAAATGGATTGTGGAGGTCAGAAACAAGTGTGATGTGGGAAGATATTTAGTTTTATGAAAATCTGAAAGATTGCAGTGATTCCCAATGCAGGCACCCCTGGCACCTGCGCGTGTGCAAGTGTGCATGTGTATGTATGTGTATATCTTGCAGGTACATGTGCACACACAAGCATTTATATAGGGGACAGTTCATTCTTCGTTGTACAGTGCTGTCCCGTGTGTCATAACACATCTAGCGTCCTTAATCTCCACCCACTAAATACCATAAGTGCCAATCCTTGTGACCACTCAATATCCTTCTGCACATTTTCTGCTGACCTGGAACAAGAACCATTGATTGCTGGATAAAAATACTGAGAGAAGTAACTGACGTTAATTGTGCGTTGTGAATGAGGTACTCTGCTAAGTGCATTCACACATATTCATTTATTACTCATAAACCCGTATAAGGTAAGTACCTATTTTATCTCCATTTTACAAGTGTGGATCCTGAGGCTCAGAGAAAGGTTGAGGAACTCAACCATGGACACACAGACACGTGAAGCCAACAGTCTGGCTCCAAAACTACACTTCTCTGGGTTGAGCTTGTAAGCCGTAAGAGTGTGGTAGGCATGCCTTTCCTTTAAAGAGGTTCAGTCAGAAAATACAAATCCTTGGGGCGCCTGGGTGGCTCAGTCGTTAAGCGTCTGCCTTCGGCTCAGGTCATGGTCCCAGGGTCCTGGGATCGAGCCCCGCATCGGGCTCCCTGCTCCGCGGGAAGCCTGCTTCTCCCTTTCCCACTCCCCCTGCTTGTGTTCCCTCTCTCGCTGTCCCCCTGTCAAACAAATAAATAAATAAAATCTTTAAAAAAAAAAAAAAAAAAGAAAATACAAATCCTTGTTAAGTAGGACCCATAGTGTGTATGTCATTATGAACCTGGGATGGAATATTCCCCTGGGTTGGAGGTGAGGGGCCACATGTTCAGTGACTAGTTATATGATGTAGGTATCAAGAGTTGGGCTGGAGAGCTCCTATGCACAAGTATATATTAGAACAGCTTTGAGCGACTGTGTGTGTGTGTGTGTGTTTTCGGGGAGAAAAGAGTTGTTTATGTGTTAAGGTTTATGTGTTTTATTTATCACTTCCACAGCATTTACTATGCACCAGGCACTGCTACAATTGCTTGACAATATCTCATTGTGTAGCAATGTACAAGAGGTGATAGGTAGCAGCTGTGCTGGAAGGGGAAAGGTCAGCTTTGATACGGATCTACATCATTTGTGTTGTGGTCCTGTTTGAGGCTGGGGGAAGGGTTATGCTAGATGGTTTGTGTGCCACGCATACCAGAGGTGCTGCATGGGAAAGACTGTGTAGTGCAACTTCCATGTGCATTTTGTGCATGGCCGGTAGTGAATACTGGAAGAGATCCAAAGGAAGGGGTCCTGGTTGTGTCCTGGGCCTGTGTATGGTGCGTGAAAACGCTGTGGACCGGGGTGCTTTCAGCGTGTAGCGGTATGTGCTGAAAGTGGTGCATAGGAGATGATTCATACCGTGTGCTCGGTAGGGACGGGGGCTGGAGAGGAGGGGGGCGCATCGTGATGTGTGTGGGGAGCGATGCTCAGTACGATAGGAGAGGTGGGCATCGCGCTAGGTGACCCGCGAGTGCTCCTGATGTGGCCCGAAGCGCTGTATAGGAGGTAGTATAGGGTGGGGGTTGAGGGTGGGGGTTGGAGGGTAGGGGCGAACGCCAGTCCAGAAGCGCTGTAGGGCAGGAAGCTAGGTGTGCTGTGAGACACCGCGCTGGTGGAGGAGCTGATGGGCGGTGGGTCTGCGAGTGTGTGCGTGGAACAGCCAGCACGATTCCTCATCCAGAGCTCCACCGGCCCACGCTCCTCACCACCGCCTCCCGCCAGCCCCTTCCCTTCGCCCAAGGGCGCTCCCTCCACGCGGCCCGGCCCTTCTCACCGGGTGAAGGCGAAGTACATGAGGCTGACGATGGTGAAGCTGAGCAGGGTGATGGTGTGCGGCCGGTAGAAGAAGTCGATGGTGATGTCCTCCACTTGCTGCTCGTTGATCATCCGGAAATGCATCTTGTAGTTCACATCATCTTTGCTCAGGGTCCGACTCCCCACGCAGGACGCCATGGCCCGCCTCCCCGTCCTGCGGCGGCGGCGGTCCCGGCCCGTGGAGGCTGGGACCCCGGAGGTGACGAGCCGCTGCAGGAGGGCAGCCGGACGGCGGGGCCGAGTCTGGCGCGGAGCGAAGGCTGGAAGCCGAGGGAAGGACAGGCGCGGGAGGGCGGGGTCGCGGCGCCGCCAACGCGGCCTCGGGCGGGGGGGCGCTGCCGGCCGTGTAGCCGCCGGCGTTCCGGGAGCCGCATCTCTGAGGATTCGTGCTATCTTCACATTCCCCGTGGACGAGGCCTAAGGTAAGTGGAGTGCGGGAGAAGGGAAGCTGTGACCCCTGGCCGGCTCTTTCCCCGCCGCCCGCCGCCCGCTCTCCCCCTGCGTAGCCTCGCAGATGGTCTCGCCCACTCTGGCCGCAGGCCACGTGGGCGAGGGAGCGCGGCGGCGCGGGCCGGCCGGGCTGGCTGACGGGCGGCCGTGAGACGCTGCGGGGCTGTCCGCCGGGCCGGGGCAGCCCGGCGGCCACCCGCAAACAAGCCAAGAGCGTGCGCCTCGCCACAGGTAAAGCGGGAGCCGCCGGAGCACTCGGGGCGCGCTCCCGGTGGGGTTCGGGTCCGGACCCACCCGCGTCCAGGCCGGCCCGGGGCCTCCTGGCCCCTGGGTCTCCGCGGCCCGGTCGGGGGCGATTAGTTCAGTTTTGTTTTTTTCTCTGGCCGACGAGACGAAAACGCAACTATGCTTGTTTATTAGCGCCTTTTGCGGAGGACGCGGAAGGAAGCCTAGCGTGGCAGCTGGCTTCCTGCGGAAGTTCGCTGTGGGGACTTGTTAAAATGGCCTAGGAGGGGCGTGTAGCATTCACGAGGGGCCCCTGATTACGAAGCCATCTTCCCAACACCCGCTTTCGTCCCCTGACATCACTTATTAGCCTTAGAGAGTTAGAAACCTTGAATCCTGGGAAAACAGTACTTCAGTGGCAATTCCTGTTCCTAGCGAAGAATTAGAGCAAGTCCTGGTGTATGATATTTTAATGCAGAATCCTTTAGGGCTTTTTCCTTTAATCTTCCTGATGGAGTCGTGTTAGATTTACTGTTAGCACCACGCAGGGCCTTTGTGCACGTCTGCAAATGCCTTATCCGCATTTGAATACTGAGTAGACGAATTACTCATAGTTGCAACTGATTCATTTCCATCCCACAGACATTGGAGCAATGCAAGTCTCGGGGCTAATGGGGAATAGTCACTGGGAGGGTGGGTCCACAGATAGGACCCAGCCCTGGTCCAGTGAACGAACAATTTATCAATTGTTAAGAGGTATACACAGTAATGAAATGATGTAGAGAGGATACTGCACTTGTAAATACAAACAGGATAAACATTAGGTGAATGCATAAAGGTCTTTAAATGAATATGGATGGAATTCAAAAGTTAATTTGCGCTATATGGGAGGAGTATTAATTTGAGCCTGGAAAGGCTTCACAGTGAATGTGGGATTTCAGAAGTTTGCTTTGAAATAGGATGAAATATTTAGATAAACTTAGAAGTCAAAATATTTTAAAGCTGATTGGGACCTTAAGAATCACATTACCTTTTCAAAAAATTGTTATTTTTTTAACAATTTTTATTATTTATTTATTTATTTTAAAGATTTTATTTATTTGACAGAGACGCAGGGAGAGAGGGAACACAAGCATGGGGGAGTGGGAGAGGGAGAAGCAGGCTTCCCACCTAGCAGGGAGCCCAATGCGGGTTTGATCCCAGGATCCTGGGATCATGACCTGAGCCGAAGGCAGATGCTTAACGACTGAGCCACCCAGGTGCCCCCAAAAATTGTTATTTCAAGAATAGTTATTGAACCCCCATCATGGGCCTGTCAGTGTGCCCACCACAAGAAGAAATAGTCTTGTCAACTAGCACACCTGAGGTCTTCTGGCTTCCAATTTGCTCCCTTTGTGCAGAGAATGAATGTTGTAGGTTTGAGGGAAACCTGACAGATTTGGCGAGTCATTTCCTGCCAGAATTTAACAAAAAGCACCTATCCCATAGGCTGTTGTGCCTACCTATTTCCTTTCTAAAATCATTTCAGAATGATAGTGAGACTTTCACTTTCGTAAAGCTCTTTCAGGAGACTTCCCTAAACTACAGGAGGAGGTTAGACCTTCAATATCTGGTCTAATTGTGAGCATAAAACAAGCTGAATTCCAATATGTAGAAAAACAAATAAAAAAGTTGTATACTACAGTTAATTTAGCAGAATTCATTTATATATGGATGTGTAATCAATAATAATACTAATGGCTAACTTTGTTGAGGATTTTCCGTATACTGGACTCCATGCTGTGTGTTATATGGATTATCTTATTTAACATAAAATTATATGCATCAAATCTACTCTTCTAATTAAGCTGTCTAAATATAAAATTCCTTCATAATCCTGGAGCTTAAAGTATTAACAGCCTTTCCTTATAAAAATCTTAAAACAACTGCATTTTCAAAATATTCATGTATTCTTTACTGGTTGCTTATGTATTTCTGTCACTTCATTTTGCTTGCTAGTTTTGACCTTTTGTTTTGAAGCCTTTTCTTTTTCTTTTTTCCTACAGCCAAAAAACAGAATTTGACAAAATTGGTTTTGTTCAATTCCCTTTTGAGGAACAGCTTTATCTGAAATAATCAAGTGTTCAGCCCTGAGGATTAACCAAGAAACAATCTTCTAGATAACAGTGATGATATTTAGGACAGTGATAATTCATTTAGGGCAAAGTAGATTTCTTCTTGTTTTTTAGTTTGTGAGTAATGCATAAACATAAAATGCATTTGCATAATTCAGTGTCTTGGATCAACAATCTGCTTCTTCAAACCAATGTCCTTCAAACCAAATATCAAGAACACTTAATTGCATCACCTTATTTCCTTTAAATATTAAATTAACAGATTATTGGGTTCAGCTGTAATTTAAACACAGATTTTTGTTTTAAATGGTTTTCTTATACCAGTGGTTTTGCTTTTTTTTATATTGTAAAGCAGTCATTATTTTTCCAGTTCAGAAGTTCCTGTCTTTTGGTTTATAACTGGGGCTGTCTTGTTTTTGGCTTTTCCTGTGCTTAAGTAACATGTGACTGCTCTAATTATCTAAGTCTATTGAACATCTTTTAATTAGAAAAAAGATTTTCCAGTTTATCATTTTGTTGTTTGAGTACTGTTCTAAACATTTAAGTCAAGTGAGTTTCTCTTTTTTGATGGTTATATATTTCCTTTGTAGGCTACTTTAAGAAAAATGGCTTTGTCAGCCCAACAGATATCCAGATGGTTCAATTCAGTTAAATTGAGTAGCTTCATTACAGCTACACAATGCGGAAAACATTTCCAGAGACCAGGAAGAACATTGTTGCTTGGCTTTTCTGCTCAGCCACAGATGTCCTCTGATAATTGCTTTCTCCAGTGGGGATTCAAGACTTACAGGACTTCCTCCTTATGGAATAGTTCCCAGTCTACCAACTCAAGTAGGCAAGAGATTGGTTCTGGCCAAAGTACTCTGCTTCCTTGCATGAATGAACAGACACAGAAGACACAAAAAATACCCAACTTTGATTCTGAGCTGTCTCTAGAAGGTAATTCTGAACTTCCCGAAGAGTCCCCTCTGCCCCACTTTGATAGTTTGAACAGGTTAACTGTTTATAGTCTGTTAGCCTATTTCAGGTCATACTTTGTACCAAGTAAGAAAAAGAACAATGCCAGTTCTATTCATTTACTTATTTGACTGAGAAAAAAGGTTTGTAGATTAATATATAGATAATATTATGTTCTAGATTTATGTGTAACAGTGGCTTTCTAAATACTTTATTTAAATTTATAAAAAATTTTCAGGTGGTAATTAGTTTTACTAGGGTATAATTTATCCTAATATATTCCTAATTAGGATATAATTTTATCCAAGTAAAATTCATCAGTTTTGAGTGTATAGTTTTATGAATTTTGACAAACACATTTAGTAGTGTAACAGCCTCCACAATTAACAAACCAAAAAGAACACAAATAGAACACCCCAAAAAACTCCCTTGTCACTTTTTAGTCAGTCCTCGCTCTCCTATGCTTCCTCTTCTAGGAATATTCCCATGCAAGGAATATTTCACCACAATGAGGGAATATTAGGTTAAGTAGAATATGAAAGAAAGCAGGGTCAAGGAGGGCAGAGAGGAAAGACTGGCTATAAGAAATAAGAAAGGGTAGTTATGAGAAGCAAAAAATAGAACGAAAAAATCATAGTCTTGATTCTTTAGCTTAAGGTAGGTTATAGTTCCCAGTGTCTCCCATTACGCATTTGGTTTAAACAAAACAAAATCTCAGAATCAGGGCTGTGCTAGAGAGGGTCATGTCCATAGTGAAGGACTACAGGTGGTAGAAACAGAATCATAGAAGTCCTTTTAAAGACGTACTTGAGAATAACTTGGAGGAAAGGAGATTGCATCAAAAGACATTTCAGGATCGAATTGACTCTAACTCACACAAATCAGGATGGTAGAATATGTTGTACTTTGGGCCAGTTTAACAAGCTATGGTAGAATCTATCTCAAAATGTACTAGAAGGTCAGTTGATTTTTAGCATTCTTACCTATTGATTAAAAGTGAACTAAAAGAAAGGAATTTTGTGTAGGACCTCCTCCTTATGAATAGAAACTTACCAACAGATTGCTTATCTTGGAGGAACAGTGGTTGATTTCTCTAAATAGTCTTAGCCTTACCTCTTAGGAGGTAGAAAATATTTGAACTTCTCAGATATTTAGTTCTGAGATGATCCCAAGATTTAAAAAGAAGCAAACTAGGGAAGAGGTTTCACTTTTAAGTATACAGTCTGGAGAGCTGACCGCCCCTGTCTTTCTATATGGCTGGCTTCAAAGCACTGGACGACCTGCCTCCGGTGTCTCCGTTGCAGCCAGTTTCCGAGGAGGAGGCCGTTCAGATTATCGCAGACCCTCCACTGCCCCCAGATACGTTCACGCTTCGAGACTACGTGGATCATTCTGAGACTCTGCAGAAGTTAGTGCTTCTAGGTAAGTCTCAACAACCTACAGGTACTTTTTCAGTGTATTCCTCATTTGCTTTTTTGCCTTACTTTGTCAAATCAGCATTTTTAATCTTTATCAAGATGAACAGAAGTCAAATAGTGTGGAAAAAGCTTCTAGTGAAAAACCGTACTCTCTGCTTCATCCTTCCTGACCTTCATGCTATTCCCCAGAGGTGTCTCCTTAACTTTTACAGCTTTTTCTGTTTGTAGTTAATCTCTGTTTATGTCATTGTTTATAGTGCTGTGGCTTGGTTCATCAGTTTTAGACATTGGTTGATCTCTTGTATGTACATACATATTTTTCCCCTATTCAGTTTGCCCAGTATAGTTATGGTAACAATTTTTAGATGAATCATCAGTCAGCGATTATATTATGACTATAAATATTGCTTGCTGCTCTCTGGGTTCGTTTTCATTTTGCAATAGTTGTTAATAATTCTTGTTTTTCCTTTGATTAGTTTTCTTTATTTCTAGGGCCAAATTTTCCCACACCTTCCAGTAGCCTGTCAGGACAGTGTTTCCTGCAGTAAACCCTACCAGATGAGGAATTCCTTCCTTTTCCCCACCACCTCCTGCCCTTCCTCCTGGAGCCCACTGTCCCCCTAATGTGGATGGTTTCTGTCTAGGCCTGCTCCATAACTATTTTAGCTTGTTGGCTGGGAGGATGCACTGGGGTCTGGATAGTTGAAGACAGCCAAGCGATCTCACTGCAGACTTTTTACTTAGTCCTCTCCTGTTCAGTCCAACACCTTATTGCAGCCATCTGCTTCTCTCATTATCCCTAGCTCTGGCACATCTCTGGTTTCATTTTCCCAGATGATAAACCTCCTTTCTCCCCGGGGGATTGAGAGGAACAGGGTAGGTAAGGGATTCTCTCTCAAATTCATCTGCTCTCATTCTCCAGTCACTGCCATACTTTAGGCTCTCATTTTTCACTGGAAAGTTAGGAGCTTCCTAACTTGATAGCCGTCTTATCAGATAGCCACATTGCTCTGATGATCTCTCAAATACCAGTTCTCTTTCTAAAATGCCGATCTGACTATGTCAGTGACCTATTGGAAATCCTTCAAAGCCTCCCCGGGATGTCAGCGCTCTGCCTAATCTGGCCCCAACTTACCTTTTCAGCTTTACTCCTTTCCCCTTCTCTCCTTCTGTTCGGCCAGCTCTGACCACTGGAAGACTTAGTTCAAGTTCTTCGGTGACCCTCCTCTGGACCCTTGCATCACCCCGGCTTAGTTCCATTCTAGCACTAATAACAGCATCACAGTTGTTTACTTCCCTGTTCCTGTGCAAGTTACGCAAATGTGCAGGTAACGGCCTTTGTTCTCAAGAAGCTTCAAGTCTTCAGAAGTATCTAAATATACATATATAAAAATAACTGGACTACAAGGATGAAAGGTAAAGTGAGAAGTGCTACATAAGACATACAAATACAGTGTCCTGTGGCTTCAAAGGGGAGAGAAAGATGACATCTGCTACAAAGGGGAGAGCCAGTCACCTTCCTTCTGGAACAGCTTCCCCAGCCTTATGGTAGGTGCCAGGGCTAATACAAGATAAACAGAAGACGTGGCCCCTGCCTTTAAATAATTTACAGCATACTAAGAGTTTTGGAATATATGTTCCAGCCATTCCTTCTCTGTATGTTGATATGTCAACAGCATATCTTGGAAGTAACTTAAGTGACAGTACCGTGGAGGAGCCGTGATTGCCTTGTCAGAGGCAATCATACTTGTCAGAGGCAGTATTTTTGAGGACCCATGTGTCCCGGTGCCTGTCTGCTTCTCCGATCTGTTTTCTGCCCTACTCTGCCTGTTTTCTATCCCAGGAGGCCAGTCTCCATGCACTAGAGCTTCTTTGCCAGCAGGCTCCTGGGCAGCTTCAGCCAGTGGGAGGCACTTGCAGGAGGAGAGCGAAGGCGGGTGGGAGTATATTTTTTTTCCCGTTCCTTCCCTGCTTTGGGTCCTGTAACTGCCTCGCTCCGTGACAACAGCTCCTCCTGAGCAGCCCTTTCTTAATAGCTTGCAGTTCCCTCTGGGTTCGGGGCATACTTTTTGCTCCCTGTCTGTTTAGCACTAGGGGTGCCCTTGTTCGCTCCCTCATCCGTCACACCACTGTGTAAAGTCCCTTCATTAAAGTTCTTTTTGCTCGCACTTTCTAGGGCAGTATCTGCTGCCTGCCAGACCTTGATGGATACACTAGATATGTGTAACCATAACTGAATACAGTGGTAATAATTGTAGTTACTGAATGGATAAAAGCAACTCAGACTGCGGTCACCCAGAAGTTAGAGGCGTGTATTACTCATTTGTTATATCCCCAGAGCCTAACAGAAGTGCCTGGTCCATAGTGGGAATTCAGTGACTACTTTTTCAAGTTAATCTTGAGTAAGTCCAAGTGATTTGTGCTGACAGCAATGTGCTCTCCTGATGAGATTCTGCTCTCCTATTGCTGTTAAAAGGCAGCTTTTCAGGATTTCTGTTTGAGCACAGTCAGGGTGTGACGGCTCATGCTGAGCAAGGCGCTTCAGCACAGATAAGCTGTACGAGTAAGTTCAATTCCAAGTCTGAACCCTGTATGTTATTTTCAAAGCACCCCTTCCCACATTTATCACAGAGATTTGGAACTAGCTTCTGTCTAACTTATGTATCCATCCAATAATTTATTTTTATTAATACTATTTTTAAATTAGAATTTCATCTAGTTGTTAATAATGCAAGTACTGTAAGAGAAAGAGCTCTCACCTTCTCTACATACCCATTTCCACTTTCCAGAGGTAACCCTATCACCAATTTGTTGAATAGCTTTCCCCACCTTTTTCTATGCAAATACATTTATTACAGAAAGCCATACATGAGTTTTATATTTTTATGTAGTCATACTTAATATTTTTTAAACTGTTTTCTTGTAGTAGTTTTAGAGTTAGTACACATTTAGATGCTTAATCTTTTGTGTAAGATATAGAAGGAATTTTTTTTAAGTAAAATTGACATATAGTTTCAGATGCACAACATAGTGATTCAGTAGTTCTGTACATTACATCATGTTCACCGTAAGTGTAGTAATAGAAACAATTATTTTTCACACGTATAGGTAGTGGTCCCATTATATTGTAATGAATAGTGTATCTTTTCACCATTAATTTGAAATGCCATTATTATTATATGCTAATTTTTTATTTTATTCATTTAGTTGATCTTGGCTCTGTTTCTGGTCTTCATTCTGCGGGTGTGTTTGTGTAATCTGTTTTTCTAGTCATGATCATCTTACATCAATGCCTGCTTAATATCAAGAAATTTGGGTTTAGAACTATGTTTGGATATAATAGTATAGGAAATTATAATTTATTTTTCTGGTTATGTACACCATTAAAGAATGTTTTTATTTCATTGCTTTTATATTTAAGACTTGAAAGTTGCATCTGGAAATCAGTTTGAGAGTTATTTTTCATCTGAAGAAATATTTTTAAGAATATAAAACTTTAAATCTAACCTTAAGGTTTTAGATTATCTTCAAATGTTTACTCTCAACATAAAGAAGAGGCCTTTCCTGTTCATGCTTATTTTTTTAATCAGATAAAAGGAAAAAAATGAGAGAATAAAATGCTCAGTTGTTTTTTTGGTTTTTTTTTTTAAGATTTTATTTATTTGACAGAGAGAGCACAAGTAGGCGGAGCGGCAGGCAGAGGGAGAGGGAGAAGCAGGCTTTCGCTGAGCAGGGAGCCCGACGTGGGGCTCGATCCCAGGACTCTGGGATCATGACCTGAGCCGAAGGCAGCTGCCCAATCGACTGAGCCACACAGGTGCCCCAAAACGCTCAGTTTTAATGAGAATTTTGAATTACAGGTTACTTTGATTCCTTGCCTAATTAACATTGCCATCTAATTATATCCATAACCAGAGAATACTTGAAAGTAACAGCTTGCTTTCTCCCTCTTCTTTCTTTCTCCTATGCCTTGTCTCATTTACTTAGACTACCTAAGATTATAAGGATACGTGAAGGTCAAAGGTTGTATACTTTCTGCTTTGTTGTATATTTGAGGGCTGTATATGCTCACCTGTTCTCACACAGACATTTCTTGTGCTCCTTCAAGGTACTTGTCTCCATGCTGAAGACCTGGAGATTACAATGAGTAAGACATAGGGTTATTTTTATTCCCCCACCCGGAGGAGATCATAAACATATTTCGAAAATAATGCTTATAACTAAGGAAATGACAAATGTCAAAGAAAGTAACAATTCATTTAAAGGGTTTGTTACACTGTAGAATTGCCACTTAAGCAATTACTGTGGAGATCAGTAGGAGCTCATAAGCATTATTCAAACAATATTCAAGAACCATAGATAAAGAGGATGATCCTAGCTAGGTCACTATGACTCGGAATTTGTTTCAGGTAGAAATTTAACCCCAAATGAATTGTTTTCCTCTATATGTGACTTGGACATAAGTACTATGTTTTCATTTTAATTTAATTTAATTTCTGCAACTAGTTTAGTTTAAATATATTTAGAAGTTTCTATTGGCCTGTCTCAGTTCTCTTTTGGACAGGTTGTTGATCTTCATCAGTAATTCCTTGTGTTTTTATGTATGAAGTTTAATGACCTAGCTAAACAGTTATCTTCAAACAGTATTTGTAATTTATTATAGGAGTGGATCTCTCAAAGATAGAAAAACATCCAGATGCAGCCAACCTCCTTCTGCGACTGGATTTTGAAAAAGACATTAAGCAAATACTCATGTTTCTTAAAGATTTGGGTATAGAGGATAACCAGCTGGGAACATACCTGACTAAAAACTATGCTATTTTCTCCGAAGACCTTGAAAATCTTAAGACCAGGTAGGGCTTTTACAATGATTTTTCACATAACCCAAGAAGTGGTTATGAAGGAAATATATGTGTAAGTTATTTTTAAGTCTTAGCTGCATAAGGATCAGCTGATAATGAACATGAATATTATTATTATTATTTTTTTGGTTACGGACTTCCTTTGATCAAGATTAAGTATCTAAAACAGTTCTTTTATTTGACTTCTCATTTTTATGTGTTCAGCTTACTGCTGAGTCAACACTCAACGGGTTCTCTTTAGAAACTGGAATAAAAAAATTTTTTTAATCCATCAACACATGGCTAAATTACCTGAGAGTGCACTTAGAGTTACGAAAGCCTGAACTTTTGTGGGTTGTTTTAATTTTCTGGGCAGTTTTTGATGGTAGACATCTGACTTCCTCTTGGCACATTATTATATCATTTGCTTAATCATTTATGTAAGTGGCCTATTTTGGTTGTTCCTTTTTTTCTTCTTTAAAAAGCACTTCCATAAACATCTTTGTACTTCATTCAACATTCAAAGAATTTATTAAATCTGTGAGAATCAATACAGTGAGATAAAATAGTATTGATCTATGAGATAAGAACCCTGCTAGGCACTGGGAACACCACAGAGAACAAGACAGAGCCCCTGTCCCTAAGTTCACCTTTTGAATTTATCATCCTCCCTACTTCGCACCTAAGTCAGTTCTTCCCTGTATTCCCAGATTCACTGAATAGGAGCACTGTTCACCTTGTTGCCCAAATCAGAAACATTAGTGTTAACTTTGGCTTCTCTTCTTACAGTATCCACATCTAATAAATCAACTATCAATTCTTTTTTCTCTCTCAAATCAGTCAGTGCATTTCTCTGAATCTTCACTGTGAAGATCACCTTGGGTCCCCATTTCACATGAAGACTGCTCTAACAGTCTCCTGACTGGTCTGCCTCTGGTCTTCATCCCCAGATTATTCTTACTCTGATGGTGAGCCTCACTGCATTTCAGAGAACTTTACAGTTCCTTGAACAACATCAGAGTACAATGCCTTGTCTGAATTAGGAAAAAGAACTAAACAAAAAACTGGATTCCGTACATTGAACGATTTGAGCTCCTGTATATGCAAGGCACTGAGCTAGACTTGAACCCCAAAAGACAGAACGTGCACATGCTCTCTCTTCATGGGACTTACCTTCTGGTATAATACAGACAGACTATTATAGGGGAGAGAACGGATGATTCTAGGAAACTCAGTCTGACATATCCAGCTCTGCTTCTCCTGACTGTCTGGAACACTGATCCCTCCCCATTCAAAAACCAGTTTGCCCTATTGTTCAAGATTTATTCAAAGGAAGTGTGTATACCAGGAGGTGGGGATTATTGGGAGCCATGTCAGAAACTGCCTACTATGCTAATACTATTTTTTTAAATTGAAGTATAGTTGACATACAGTGTTGAATCAGTGATTCAACAAGTCTGTACAAGGCTATCTGTTATGCTATGCTCACCACATGTGTAGCTACCATCTGTCACCATACAGTGCCATTTCAATACCACTGACTATTGCACCACTATTATTAATATCCCCATTTTCCACGGGAAGCACAGAAAGGTTTAATAATTTGCCCAAGATTCCGCGGATAGTGTAAGTGACAGAGCTGGGATTCAGGCCCACTTAGTCTAACTGCAGAGTCCTCGCTACTGCCCCATGCTGTCTCCCTACTCTTAATTCTGTAAAGGAAACCTGAGTTTAAAAGAAGCTGAAGTTACTTGCTCAAGATCACACATGCTCCTAACAACGAGAGGATATTCTCTCATGGACAGCATAGTCTAGTGGTTCCTAAACTCTGGAGCATTATTTTAATTACTTGGAATTTTTTAATAGGTTTATCCACATACAGCAAAAAATAAGCTGCTACTGTAAGAGGCAAGAGTATGATAATCTTTAATTGAACTTAGCTTTTGTCTCTGGTATGTACAGTAGTCTTATTTCTAGGATTTCTGTAATAGCATTGATTTCATATACTTGTTTTCCTTTGAAGAAAATTTCAAATGTATAAAAAAGTTATTTTCAAATGAATAATTTGCATTTAATTATTTAATTTTTTTTTTCGCTGGGCATATCTTAGTTTTTTATTAGAAAAATTATCACAAGGTAGACAACAGTTTTGATAATGTTTTAGTCAGATATTGATTTTTGCTGTGACCAAAAAAAGGGGGGGGGACAAAAAGTAATCCTCCTTCCCACCTACTTATATTTGTCCCTCATTAACTTTCTGAGACCCATCTGTGGAGGCAGCTACTATGATCAGGTTTTTTGTTTGACCTGCTAAGAATGTTCTGTCATATGTAAGCATATGTGTATATCTGTGTACAAATACACATGAACCCACATACATACAACTGGTAGCATTTATACATACTATTCTGTACCCCACTTTCTTACCTTAACTGTATGTTAGAGATAGTTTTGTACTGGGACTTCCTCTTTTTTTAATGCTAGTTTAGTTCATACTGTGGATCATCCAGTCCCTCACGATAAACATGGTGCTTGATTCCAGTCACTGCTACCACAAGGCTGCAGTGACTCTCCGTGTGTGTGTGTGTGTGTGCGCATGTATATATATATATATATATATATATATATATATAATTTTGCACATACTGCTATATATCTGTAGGACAGATTTCTAGAAGTGGAATTGCTAGGTGAAAGGGTATGTGCATTTATAATCTTAAAGATATCGACAAGTTGTCCTTTGTAAGGTTGTTTTCCAGTTTACGCATCCACCAGCGTCATACAGAAGTGCCAGTTTCTCTGTTACCCTCACTATTACAGAGTCATCAAACTTTATGGTTTCAGTTCATTTTATAGATAAAAACAGTGCCTCAGTGTTGTTTCAGAAATGATGTTTGGAGGCTCTTTTCCTCTGTTGAATTTCTATTTACATCACCTTTTCTATAAATCACATATGTCCTTTGTCATTTTAAAATTAAGTCTTTTTCTTTCTTTTGTAAGCATTCTTCTAACAAAATTAGTTATTTCCCCGTGACATGTTGTAAATACTTGTCACTTGTTTTGACTTTGTCAATGCTTGGGCAGGGGGGGTGCCTTGCATTTAAGTTTTTATATAGTTAAATTTGTCGGTCTTTTCTCTCATGTCCTCTAAGGGAGTCCCTTAAAGGAGTAGTCATCACTTATAAAATATAAGCTCTGGTGGTACATGGTATAGAAATCTCATAGGCATGTCTGAGTTCCAATCTCAGCTTGGTCATTAATTAGCTGGTGGTCTAAGAGGAGTTATTTAACTTCTCTGAATCTATGTTTCTTCAGATACAATGTGGAAAATTTACCTGGTTCACGGGTTTTTGTTTCTTGTGTTTTAATTGGTGAGAATTAAACAAGATAATGTCCTAGTATATTTTAGGCATTTAATAAAACTGCCTTTTACTATGTTTATAAGTTTTTAAAAATCAATAATGTTATTTCATAGTCAAACTTTCTATATTTTACTACCGTATTTTGGGTCCCAGAAACTTAGCAGGAAATTTCTCAGTTGTTAACAAAATGCATAATGGAAATCGTAGTAAAAATTATTTACGAATATACATAGTAAATTTGCTAAACTAAAAAATTCCTCTCTCGACTTCTGCTATGCTTGAGGGTCTTTATAAAAAGAGTTTGGAATCTCTTATTTTCTTAATTTATGGATTTATGTTCTTGGCAAAGAATTCTTAAATGAAGCTATTTGATTTTTTTCTACCAAGTAATAAAATAACTGAAAAGAGAATCTGTTAGTAGATTTCAGAATTATTTGGTTTCTGAGTAGAAATGGGAACCGTTCTATCGTTGGATGGGTGCTTATTTTGCTTTAACCATATTTGGGCCATTATTGAATGTTTTTACTTATCCTTTTTTTTTTGTTTGTTACTTTGGAAAGTACATGACATTAGTAAATGTTAATCATATGTACATGTATTTTTTGTTTGTTTCTCTAGAGTGGCTTATCTGCAGTCAAAAAATTTCAGTAAGGCACATATAGCACAGATGGTCAGAAATGCGCCATTTTTGCTGAGTTTTTCAGTGGAAAGATTGGATAACAGATTGGGATTTTTTCAGAAAGAACTTGAACTTAGCGTGAAGAAGGTAAAGAAAAGAGAATTTATATATTTCCATGTGAGCTACATTTAGAAGCTTAAATCTCACGTTTCTCACAGATGCCTGGTCCATATGAATTCTATAAATGCCTGGTATTTTTGTATAAGAATGAATTACCCTACTAGGTTAAATGTATAACTGTATCATTTTATAGTATTCCATCAAGTTGGTGCCTTAAGTTTTGTTTTCAGTATTTTTTTTCCCTCAAACAGTATTAAGTTTATGTATTTTCAGGGTTCCTAGCTCATATTTTGAATTTTAGTTTTGTGTTCCTAGTAATGCCTTGTTTTCCCAAACTAGTTGAATGTGCATGTATAGTAATAATAGATTGTTTTATAACTATAGACTAGAGATCTGGTAGTTCGTCTCCCAAGGCTACTAACTGGAAGTCTGGAGCCCGTGAAAGAAAACATGAAGGTAGGTCGACTTTAAGATTTTCAGAAATCAGCTTCTTTCTTTAAGTGCTTAGGAAGAGGATAGATTTTGCTACTGTCTTCTTAACACTAGATTGTGAAAGAAGTAATTTCTAAAAAGATGGACATAGGAAATGATACAATAAATATCTAGCAAGCAGTTTATTTTAGTTAATAATATGTTCACACGTTGAGCAGGTGTTACATGCGTAAATCACCTTGTAGACACCAATACCAGTAATCCTAGAGTAATGCATTAGGTATCTGGGCGATGCCTGGAAACCACGTTTGTTGCCAGTGTGAGACTCTAGGTTTATGTCACCTTGGTGGGAGATGAGATTTGGAGGCTGGATCCGGAAGACATCTGTGAAGAGCCTAGTAGCCAGCACATTGCTCTCCTTAGAACTGTGCCCACTGCCCGCTCTAGTTCTATCACAGGACATACCAGACACTCGTTACTGTCCTACCTCCAAGCGAGTAGTATAAAGCCAAAGGCAGCTGACTAGTTAGTATACAAAGCTGTAGTCATACTTGAAATTATGATAGAAGGCCTGTTTTTCTGAGGTGCTTAAAGTGTTTCATGTCCAGTTGTTGAAGAAATTTTTGTTGAGCACCTGCCCATGCACTGTGCTTGAAGATAGTCCCTGCTCTCATGGGGCTCATAATCTAGTAGGGGCATAGCCTGCAGAGTAATAAGAACAACGGATTGGTAGGGGAGCAGAGGACCTAACACACATTTGGGTATTTAGTTTTACCATCTCTGTCTGGAATTTTGACATGTGGTTTTTCCAGATAACATGTATGTGAGTGTGCTTGGGAGCAGAGGCTCAAAAAACACATTGAAAATCTTAACTGCTGGTCTGTGGTGTAGGGCCCATACAGATAGCCTGACCAGGCCTTCCACATCCACCATTATTCTGTTTCATCGTTATGATAGCTCCTTTTGGTGATCTTCACGATGATCACCATGCTGTGAGAGTTCGTCTCAGGAGAGGGGCTTGAAATTCAGGATACCCCAGAAGCAGGAAGCTATGGACCCTTGAGGGCATTGGCATAGCTGTCTCCAGTTTTTAATGTCCTCATTTCAGATTTTAAAATAATCAGTGTGTCCTCTGGCATATTAGGAAAATAACTGTTTACATTTGTGATTCAAGCAACTCTACTTTCTCTTAGGTTTATCGTCTTGAACTAGGTTTTAAACATAATGAAATTCAGCATATGATCACCAAAGTCCCAAAGATGTTGACTGCAAGTAAAAGGAAACTTACTGAGACTTTTGACTATGTGCACAATGTGATGAGCATTCCCCACCACCTCATCGTCAGGTTCCCACAGGTAACAAGTGCACAACTCTCTCTAGAAGCTCTCATTGCCCTTTGTCCAGAACTGCTCTGTGTGCATAGTGCTGTTCCACTGCAAAAATGACTTGCTGTTTGGGAAGGAATTGGGCCAATATACTCTGGTTCTGAGACTGACAGTTGTAGTAAGGTCATAATTTCTTTTGCCCATCTTTGAAATCAAGAACACATCTAGCAAACGAAGTCAAGGGATCACTTGTGAAAAGTTTACAACTTCTAGGGCACACATGTACATGTCCATAGGAGACACAAGGGACGAGTCTGTTCCCTTTAGTTGTTACCTATTGCTCATCCTGCCTGTTGGAATCTAACGTATTCCCAGTTGTGTTTTTCTCCCATCTAAATTAGAAAAGATCACTTCCCTTAAAGGTCCTTTCAATTCTACATGTACTTTTCATTCACAGTCTATCTAAATCCATTAGTTAGGGGCACCTGGGTGGCTCAGTCAGTTAAAGTGTCTTGACTCTAGGTTTCAGCTCAGGTCATCATCTCACAGGTCCTGAGATTGAGCCACACAGCGGGCTCTGCAGTCAGCAGGGAATCTGCTTGGGATTCTCTCCTGCCCCTCCCCCAGTCGTGTGGTCTCTCTAAATAATTGGAATAAATGAATGAATGAATAAATGAATGAATGAATAAATAAATCCATTAGTTAATGAGCCGTATTGTAATGATCTCCTACAAAAACATAAAACAGTTCTAGTTTGCCATTGTGCCAAAGCCATATTTATGTTTTCCAAGCTAATCAGACTTTCCTCTTTAGCAAGTGACATTATCTGCTTGTTCACAAGAATGTTAACTCTTTGAAAGCAGAGATCCTTTTGGATTTATACACTGCTGGATTCCCGGTGCCTGGAACTATACGGGACATTTAATAGGCACTAGATAAGTATTTGCTGAACAAATGAATGATTGAATTTCATCAAAGTCATCCTTTCTTTCCTGTTTGCCATGTGAATAGACACTCCATAGTCACTGGATAAATGAAAGATTGAATTTCATTAGAGTGATCCCCCTACTCTGTTGCTACATGTGTTCTTGATATAAAGATAGGCAAAAGAAATACGGCTTTAATATAACTCAGAATTAGATTGCATTTGGTACAATTCCTTCACAAATAGCAATGTTTATTTACCTATCATACTTCACTATGAATGGGCCCTTAATAGAGAGGTTTTTTGTTTTTTTTTTTTAAGATTTTATTTATTTATTTGACAGAGACACAGCGAGAGAGGGAACACAAGCAGGGCGAGTGGGAGAGGGAGAAGCAGGCTTCCCACCGAGCAGGTAGCCCGATGCGGGGCTCGATCCCAGGACCCTAGGATCATGACCTGAGCCGAAGGCAGACGCTTAACAACTAAGCCACCCAGGCGCCCCAATAGAGTTTTTCTGTTTCATCAAATGTGTATGTATTGATTATTAAAAGTGCAGGGGTACAAATTTGGCTTATTGGAACAACTGTAAAGTAAGTGGTCTTCAACTAAAAAGCAGTAACAATTAGTTTTCCCCTGGGCTGTTAGATAATTCAGTGACAGAGTATGATAAAATAACCTGATTTGGGGATATAAAAATCAATCAGACATGGTGTGTATTCTTGTGGAATTTGTAATCTAGTGTGGAAGACAAGTCTCTAAAATGTAATTGATTTACATAATGTTAGAGTCTTAACCAGATAGACTTAGTTAAGTCTAAGTCTACCTTAACCTAGACTTAGATAAGTCTTAACCTTATAGAACTTAATTAATTTAATTTAGAAGAGGTAGGAAAATCATAGAAATAATGATAGCTACTAAGTGCTCACTGTGTGTCAGCTCTGTCTTTACTGCTTTACTTGTATTAATTCATTTAATCCTCACAACCATCATATGAGATAGGTACTATTATTATCCCGATTTTACAAGTGAAGAAAGTAAGCATAAAAGGATTGTCCAAAGGTGGTTACCCAGGTAACAAGGAACAGAGACAAGATTAGAACTCTGGCAGTCGGGTTTAAAAATCCATGCTCTTAACTAGGATATTCTACCACTCTAAGAACTGACATTTGAGTGGTCAGTAGAATGAGTGGGGTCTCAAAGATGCATAGAAACTTTCTAAGTAGGGGAAACTATAAACTTGACCAAATGCATCAAAATCACTTGTTTAAATAACACAGACTTTTAGGCACCCCAAACCCTAGCTTCTGGGAAGCCCAGTTATAGAACTGTGACTTCCTTTTTGGGATTCTTAGACTCATAGGGGTCTGGCTAATACTGTTTTTTTTTTTTTTAAAAAAAAAGGAAAACTAACTGACAGGACTGTGGGGGAACTGACAGACTTTAAATTTTTGGCTGGTGTTTTAAAAACTTAAGTGGTATGAAAGGAATTTTCTCTTGCAAATAACAGTTCTGGTTGACCTATTTCTGATTCCTTTTTAAAGTTGCTGCCACTCATGCTACTCCTTAGGAGTTTTAACCCCAAGACAAAGATGTGCTTCCCCTAGTTGCTCCCCTAGAGGCCAGGTTCATTTCATTCTAATACTAGTCGGAGAGAGCAGGCAGGAATTTTACAAAAATAAGGAAGCTTCACAAGATTGTGAAATCTTACAAACTTTTTGGTGCCAGTGGACCTTGATTTCTAACTTTGGTTCTCAAACTTGGCAGTCATCAGAGTCACCTCTGACATCAGTCACCAGTGACTCTCCAGTCACCTGGAGAACCTGTGGGCCCCACAAAAATTGAGTATTTTGGGGGCAGGGCCTGAGGATTTGCTATTTTAACATCTCCTCCATCTGGATTAGCCAATGTTCTTTGCCTGCAATATAGCCCTTAATTACTTTATAATTTTTCTGTTCTTTTTAATCATAATTTCTTAGCCAAAGCTATATGGTTTAAACCCTGTGGCATTTATCATAGTTACTAAGCATGTGGTCACTACTTTATAATTATTAGCCTACTTAAATTTTTAGCCAAATAAACATTTTTAGTTGTTCATCTTTCAGTGCACATGTTGTTTTTAAAAACTTTTTTTTTTCTTTTTTAGGTATTTAATACAAGGTTGTTTAAAGTCAAAGAAAGGCATTTGTTTCTTACCTATTTAGGAAGAGCACAATATGATCCAACAAAACCTAACTACATCTCTTTGGACAAGTTAGTGTCTTTGCCTGATGAAATATTTTGTGAAGAGATTGCCAAAGCCTCAGTACAAGACTTTGAAAAATTCTTAAAAACTCTTTAGTTTTTGATGAATGTTAAAATGTAATAATATAAAATGAATGTATATATGAATGAATGATTTTTAAATAAATGCCTCAGGCCTCCACTGATGCTGGAAACAATTTCTTGATGTTGTGAATTTGGGTACACTTGTGGCAGATCTTTCTTACAAGTTCCTGGTGACTTAATTTTCTTCAACTCAACCATTTCCTTCCTTCTCAGGGAGGACAGAACTTAAACCACAGCAAGCTGAGAGAAGGAGTGAGAGTCACTTTCCTATGGGCTGGCACACTGTCTGTCCTTCTGGTGAGGATGAGGACAGAGGTTTCCCTCTGATACTCGCAGGCCTTCTAAAGTGGTTTCCTCACAAGACCTCTTTATTTTCTTCGAAATGTTAGAAGTTTCTGGAGCATGCTATATTATTATTCACCTAATAGCTACTGTTCACGTAGATAATGCTACAAAACACATTCCATTTTGGATGATCTGTGCTGTATCCTCCTGAGCATAGATATTCAGAGTTGCCCACAAATTGGCTACCGAGAATCGGGAAAGGAAAAAGGATTGGGGGGGTGGGGAGGAGGGGACTACTGTGAAGATAAGTAAAGGGCAATGAGACATATGGTAAAAGACCATAACAAACCTCTGACTTATTGCCAGTATGCAAAGATTTACAGCATGAACTGATACTCTTTTCCCCATTTATCATTTAGACATGTAATCCTGGGCCAATAATTTAACCTCTGGGTCAGATCCTTATTTGTAAAACAAGGCATTGTGACTTCAGCTATCTGCCTTGAGATCACAAGCTTGGGTGGGTAGTTAACACTGGTGGCTTCCAGCGAACCACCCTGGTATTTGTTCTCCTTGTCCCCTTCCACACTGACTCTGGGCCAATGAGACCTGGTCCCTGAAACATTATCAAGCAGAGGCTAGATAAGTACTTGCACACTGGGGCTTGTCCTCTTGAAACATTTGCTCTTGGAACCTTGAGCCACTATGTAAAGAGGTTGGGTGACTCGGAGAAATGAGGTGGAGAGAAAGAGGTGTCTGGCCAAACCTCAGCTATTCCAGTCATGCCAAGGGAGCACCAGACATGGGGGGGGGGGGGGAAGCTTAGACATTTCAGCCTCAGCAGATGCAACATGGAGCAGAACTATCCAGCTGAATTCAGAATTGGGATAAAAAACTTTTAAAACACTAACTTTGGGGGCAGTTTGTTGTGCACCAGGGTTCTGTGATGTGCTGTAGATCCAGAAGCCTCATAAGAAACTAAATTTATAATTGATGAGGGCCTTCCTGTTAGGTATTTTATTCATTTGCCCAACAGACATTTGAGTTCCTAAAATGTAGTGGTGAATGTGGCATAGATAGGGGCCTTCATGGAGTTCTCTAATGGATGAGATCAATACACAGGAAACAAGCCTCAGCTAAAAAAGCGTGGAACCATCCCACTGGTCTTTCTATGGCTCAGAACCTCATTTTGCCTTTATTAACAAACCACTTGTTATCAGTCAGAACAGGCTATAATGAACAGTCCTAAAACCTTAAATGGTTTCTTTTTAAAGATTTTATTTATTTATTTGAGAGAGAGAGCACGAGTGCAGGGAGGAGCAGAGGGAGAAGGAGAAGCAGAACCTGCTGAGCAGGGAGCCCGACGCAGGACTCCATCCCAGGACTCCGAGATCATGACCTGAGCCGATGGCAGGTGCTTAACCGACTGAGCCACCCAGGTACCCCAAACCTTAAATGGTTTAAAACCACGGAAGTTTTTATCTCATACATATCCTACTTGGGACTAAAAAAGCTCTGCTCCTTATCATCTTTAGTGACAGAGGTTGATGGCGCCTCCACTGTGTCTTAAGTGTAGCCAATCTATGAAAGGGGAAAAGAATGTGAATTGCTCTTAAAAACTAATCACATTTTTCTTGGCCAAAGCGTCACATGGCCACGCCTAGCTTTAAGGGAGCAGAGAAATGCAATCCTACCCACGTGCCCGGAGGGAAATCAAACAATTTTTGAATCAATACAAATGACTGCCAGCAAACATCCAGGACCTCTAGGCTCAATACCTCTAGGAGCTGGATTTTTTTGACAGTCTTGGGCATCTGATCTCTTGACAAGGTCTTCCTTCTCTTACCACCTTCACCGTGTAACCAGCAAGCTGAAACTTAAGGGTAACGAGGAAACAAGAGTTCACTGAGTACTTCTTGTAAAGCAATGTGCCAGTGTTTAAATGTATTGCACTTCTTCACGTCTTTCAGACTTCACTTTGGCTAGCGTAGTCTGGGAGCAGACATTCATGTTTTTAGTGCTGCATACGGGACTGAGTAATGTGAGAATGTGGTGGCACAAAGAAGAAAAAAGGGGAAGGCAACAAAAGTTTAGAACTGGAATGTGACTAGGACCACTGAATCTAACCTGAATTTACAGTGAGATGGATTTCTCTATATGGTCCCAGTTCTCCGCTTAAGCCTGAAGTAAACAAAAGTAGATATTCGTGGGTTCTTGTTATGGACTGAATTGTGTCTCCCCAGAAGTCGTGTTGAAACACTAACCCCCAATGTGATGGCATTTAGAGACAGGGCCTTCATAATGCGAATAGTGTCCTTGTAAGGTACAAAAGAGTCTGCCCTGTGAGGACACAATGAGAAGGCAGTCCTCTAAAACCCACAGGAAAAGCTCTCACCTGAAAGTGACCATTCTTGCGCCTTGATCTTGGGCTTCCAGCCTCCAGACCTGTGAGAAATACATTTGTTTTTTAAACTACCCAGTCTGTGGTGTTTTGTTATGGCAATTTGAGCTGACCATGACAGTAATGGTGGTAGGAGGTCACAGGAACTGAATGAGTCAGTCACACTATAATCGTTTCTGTCCCTAGATTCTAATGCCTTAGACTTAACATGTTGGGGCTGAGGCCCTGCGGGTATACTTTTATCTTAAAATCACACACAAAGTCTGCTCTGTATCTTAGATTAGTGTTAAATTTTTCGTGTGTGCTGACCTAACCTACCACGAAAATGGTCTGGTGTAGACCTTAAGCTGGAGAAACGCAAGGCCAGAGAGGGTTAGTGTCTCCTGGATTAGCAGTGTGGTATTTGGCCCTAGAATTAAGAAGGAGTCCCAAAGTTTTACCCGGATCCTCTGATACTAGAAGATAAATCTGGATTCTTCCTAGCTGTGTAGTCTTGGACAATTTATCCCAACTTTCTGAGCCCCTGTTTCCTCTCTACAATGGGGATAATCATAGTACTTACCTCACGGATTTAGAACTAAATGAGAATTAAAATAATACGCAGGTAAAACGCTTAGCGCGTTGCTTGGCACAAAGGGCGCAATAAATACTCGCTAAATTCCCACAGCTCGTCCATCACAGAACCCAGGCTAAAGCCCCTTATTCCTTGCCTAATGTTCTTCCCATCAGGTCACACGAAATGGTTCATGGAACGGAGCGCGCAAAATGCCCGCCCTACTACATCGGCAGGACTCAAGCGGAAAAAACGGCAGGCGCAGGTGCCCCCAGTCGGCTGGCAGAAACTGCGCCTGCGCGGGCGTCCTTCCTCGCCAGGCGACGCGACGTAGGGCGCCTGCGCAAGGGCCCAGAGCGTCCTCCAGGACTTACCCAGCAGGCAACGCTGCAGCCTCGGGTCAAAATGGCGAGCAGGCCTGCAGGTAAGTCCCTGGTGGCCTCCCTGACAGGCATTGCCCACTCAGCCTTTTTTTCTTCCAGTAAATTGCTCCGCTTCCTCTAAGTGGCTAGGTGTCCGACGTCAGGGAAGGTGGAGGCTCCGCTCCAGCCTAAAGGGCGCCTTTCCCCCCACCCTCTTACTGTCCCCAGGCCAGCCGGGCTCACCCGAAGGGTTGAAGGTGGATCTGCTGTCGGTGAAGGTGCCCGCGGTGCCTCCGATAGCCCTGCCATTCCGGCTGCCTGTGCTCGGCAGGCCTTCCGCTCGGCCTTAGAAGTGTTCAAGGACACTAGGAGATAATAGTGCGTGACTTTCGACCAAAATGAACCGAGTGCTTGCCGTGAGTCTAGCCCTGTCGTGTGCGATAAATTCTCCTGCCAGTGTGACGAGGGCGGTATTAGTTTCCCTTTTACGCTGATCAGGTAACCGAGGCAAAGTGACCGGAGGAAATAGGTCTGCAAACTTGCGTCCACCCCTCGCCCTTCTCAAACGGAATTCAGGGCAGCTGAGCCAGTGTTACAGCGAAGCTTCAGATTAATTTTTGCTTATCTGGAACGTCAGCTCGGTCTGTAGATTTGGAGAAGTTTGTATTTACTGTAGGCACTAAAACAAACATACTTATTATGCAATAGAATACAGAAATTACCGGAATATTTAAAACAGATCGTGAACACCAAGGATTTTCCCTCCCCCGCACCTTTTTTGCCGGTCTCTGCCCTCTGGAGGTATAAATTGGAATAGCCTTTAAATGATACTGGCCCCTTTCTCCTCGCCCTCAGCGATGGTGAAAACATCAGATTGCCTGAAAAATCCGTTAATCTAAATGACATTGAACTTTTTGGGGAGTGGGGGAGACATTTAGGAATTTGTTGTTTCATTAATTTGACAAATACAGAAGGCACTCTGCTCTGTCCTGTGTTTGAGAACTAGGTAGACCTGGTCTCGACCCTGTCACTGGCTGGCTCTGATCTTGGGTAGGATAAGTTCTGTAAACCTTATTCTTCTGCGAGGACAGGCGTGTTGTAAATAAACCGAGCCAATGTGGGTAAAGCAGATGGGATAGTGCCTAGCACACAAGTGTTCAATGAATATTAATCATCACCGTCAATGGCAAATATGTATACAGATCATTTGTTTTCTACAAGTATGTTTGTAGATTGTTGACTCTTTGGTACTTGTTTTTCTAGGAGCCATCTTCTACATGGTGCTTAATTTTCAAGGAGATTTACCAAAGCTGTGTAATCTGTGATATGCTAAGGAGTAGGGATGAGGAGGGGT